GTCAAGTGCTGGAAAACAGGCATTTTCCTTTGGTGGTGGAGGGATATTGAGGTATGTTCCCTCTATCCCCACACTTTGAAGAGTTTTAATCAAGAAAGATGTTGTATTTTCTCAAATGCTTTTTCTGCATCAATTGAGAGGATCATATTTTCAATTTTCTTTTATTAATGTGCTCTATCACGCTGATTTGCGAATGTTGAACCACCCTTGCATTCCAGGAATAACTCGCACCTGGTAGGGGTGAATAATCCTTTTAATGTACTGTTGGATCCTATTGGCTAGGATCTTGGTGAGTATTTTTGCATCCATGTTCATCAGGAATACTGGTCTGTAATTCTCCTTTTTGATGGGGTCTTTGCCTGGTTTTGGGATCAGGGTAATGCTGGCCTCATAGAACAGGTTTAGAAGTTTTCCTTCCATTTCTATTCTTTGAAACAGCTTCAGAAGAATAGTATTAATTCTCCTTTAAATGTTTGGTAGAATTCCACTGGCAAGCCATCTGGCCCTGGACTCTTGTATTTTGGGAGGTTTTGATTACTGTTTCAATTTCCTTGCTGGTTATTGGTCTGTTCAGATTGTCTATTTTTTCCTGCTTCAGTTGGTAGTTTACAAGTTTCTGGGAAGGCATCCATTTCTTCCATGTTGCTTAATTTGTTGGTACAGAGTTGCTGGTAATAATTTCTAATAATTGTTTTTATTTCCTTGGTGTTAGTCATGATCTCTTCCCTTTCATTCATGATTTTATTGATTAGGGTCCTTTCCCTTTTCTTTTGGATAAGTCTGACCAGAGGTTTATCGATATTAATTCTTTCAAAGAACCAGCTTCTAGTTTTGTTGCTCTGGTCCCACCTCCAGGGCAAGTGATTTGGGGATATCTGTCCAAGTTGAAAATGCATGCATCTTTCGACCCAGCACTTCTACTTGCAACAATTTATCCTACTCATTTACTCAGGTGTGTATGAAATGTCAAGATGATTCACTGCAGCTTTTGTTAGTAATACCATTTTAAGTTGTTGTTATGAGCAGAATCATACCCCCTCCCCCAAAATGAAGTTCTAACCCTCCTCACCCACCCCATACCTCAGAATATGACTGCATCTGTTGCCAAAAAATTGGGCCTTTAAAAAGGCATTAAATTAAAATGAGGTCATAAGGATAGGTCTTAATCCAATATGACTGGTGTCCTTACAAGAAAAGGAAATTTGAACGCAGACATGTAGAAAGGGATGACCAGGGAGAAGGTGGCCATCTGCACACCAAGGAGAGAGGCCTCAAGAGAAACCGACGCTGAGGGCACCTTGATTTTGGACTTCCAGCCTCCAGAACTGTGAGAAAAGAAGTCTCTGACATTTCAGCCACCCAGGCTGTGGTACTCTGTTATGGCAGCCATAGCAAACTATTAAATTAAATTTAAAATGCTCATAAGAAGGAAAATGGCTAAATAAATTCTGGTATATTTGTATAATGGAACACTGAACAACCATTAAAAAAAAAAAAGGAAACTCTTAATATACCTATAAAGAATATTGTAAAGGGAACATATTGTGTAGTGAATATACTGTACAGCTCTATTGTAAAGTGAAAAAAGCAAAGCATTCAATAGTCTGTATGTGCTAAAACTTGAAAAAAGAGAAAAATATACAGAAGCAGATGAACAGATACAGATACTTGTTTGTACATGCATAAAATATCTTTAGGAGAAAACACAACCAACTGGGGCCCACTGGCTGCCTCTGTGTAGACTGGGGAGCCTGGTCCCTGCACACATTGGTGAACCTTTTGAACCCTGAACCACATGAATATTCTACCTTTTCCAGGAAAATAAAATTTAAAAAAAAGTGTAGCCTCTATTCTCAGGGAGTTCACATTCAAACCAAGGACACACCAGATCAACACACAAGATAAAAGGAAATGGCAAATATCCCATCATCTGTGAAGGTGAAACGTCAGTGGGGCCAGCACCTCCGTGAAAGACTGCCTATGTGAAATGGGGCAGGAAAGATGATGGGAGGTCTCTTCACTTGGGGCTGGTGGGAAGGCAGGCACAGGGAGGGGACAGTCGAAGTGAGGCTGGAGGCTACCATGCTGCTGAGACTAGAGCCAGCACCACTGGACAGAGCTGCAGAACTGGAGCCTCAGCAGCCCTGAGCCAGTGTGGCACCACTGCCCCTTTCCAGCCTTCCCCACGGAACCCAACTGTACACAGGAACCCACCCCTGTCCCCACAGGGCAGGGGACCTACTCTTCTCCTCACTTCAAGCAGGCCAAACCAATCGAGGCCATTCCATTCCCTTTGCCAATTTTTGGTTTCAAAGTGGGATGTACCTCAAATCTGCCAGTAAGAAGTGGGGGAATTCTGTTGGGAGTGCCTAGGAAAGCTTCCCTGTGCTTAAGAAGGAGGAGCCAGAACACATGACCCATTCTTCTCCCTCTGACCATGATGTAGCTGTAGGACAAAGCCAACTTTGGGTGCTGACTTGGCAGGAACTTGGAAAGGTCCTGGTTTCTTGCAGGCATCGTTGACTGGTGATGATAACACTTTCCAAACCCTGAATTACCCTATCCCGGAAATTCCATTTTGGGAGATGACAGATTTCCTTCTTATTTAATCTATTCTAGGTGTGCTTTCTGATATTTGTGGCTGAAACCATCCTAATTGATATAGCCAAGGGGAGCCCTTGGATACCAGTTTGTGGAGCCTGGATTTTATTCCACAGTTAATAGAAAAATTAACAGGGATCTTAAAATTCAGATCTGCATCATGGCAGTCCTCCTGACATGGCAGTTGGGCCATGACCCTCATGTGGGTCCAATGAACACATGAAAGAAACTCTAGATGGATATTTCTGCCTAATCTTTATCCTCTTGAGTTGAAATTTTATGTAAATTTTTGAAAACTGGCCCAGCACTGCATGTGACAGAATATCAGTGATGACAGGAACAACAGCAGTTAACCTTCACTGGGTGCTTTCTAATGCCCGGCACTGTGACCAGCACTTCACGGTCCTCTTAACAACCTTGTTGGGGTCAACTCTAATTTACAGAAGAGAAAACAGGGGAACAAAGAGCAACTTGTGTAAGTGACAAAGGTCGGACTCAAACCCACTTAGAAAAAGCTCCAGAGCCTGGGCCCTTAAGCAGTTCAGTTCACTATTATACTGCCTCTCCATATGTAATTTATAAACTTATGTGTGTGTGTACACTTTCTAAACCAATGTGTGTACATACAGGGGGCTGATGTCTATGAATGTATGTATAAATATATATGTGCAAGGTGTGTGTGTGTGTGAGTGTGTGAGATACATGCTCAGTGACATCATTCTGCTAGGAACCCTCGATAAAACAGACGTTTTGAAAATCGCTGGTACAGAAAATGGACTGCGGGGAGGAGGACCTGAAGTAAGGAAGGCAGTGAGGAGGCAGGGGCAGGAGGTGGGAGTGGGATGGGGAGGAATCTCCAGGTTATGGAAGCCAGGCACTGAGGTGCTCTGGAGGTTACGGCAGTGCTGACTGACCACAGCTTAAAGAAGGATGTAGGGCCAGAAGGCACCAGGTCACCGAGAGAAAGGAGAGGGCTGAGGGCTGGAGGTCAGAGAGAGACCAAACATGGGGACTAGGGCTGAATCCAACCAGGATAGGGACTCCAGTTTAAGAGAAGGCCATCCTAGGGCCTGACGAGGTCTAGGTGGATCTTCAGAGTGGAGCTGGTCACTGGTGTGGTGATGTCATGAGAAACTAGACAGCTGGTTGTTGGAAAGGTCTTTGAGAACCCCATACTGGGGCAGGGCCAGGCAGGTGATGGAGTGAAGGAGGATGGTGTAATAAGAGGGAGTGGTGGGGACTGTGGCAAACTAGAGAACACGGCCACCTAGAGGGGGCAGCAACCATTGACTGTGGCCCTGAGAGAATGTGGGTCCAACGTTGTAACAGTTGCCAGGTTTTCAAGAGAAAACAGAAATTCAGACTTTTACATGAAATCTGATTTTAGTGTTGGTTTAAAAAAAATTTTAAACTACCACCCTTACAGCTACATGGCAGAACTGGGACCCAAATGAATGAGGGGCAGGGCTCAAGTTCCCAGGCACAGAGAGCCCACCACCACCCCCACTCCCAGGGCAGAGTCCCTAGAGCACTGAGTGAGGCACAGGCTGGGAGCTGTCAGATGTGTCAGCCCTGCTTCTCCCAGCCTGCCCCACTCTAGACGATTTTTGTTCTCTGCTGGTTGCGAACTGATAGGAGAGATCTGGCCAGTCATGACTTAGAATATCCTTAGGTATTATGCCTTTCCAGGGAGGACTTCTGAAGGTCACACTGATGAAAGGAATGGGGCTCTGACAGTAGAAGAACAGAAAAGGCATGGTTCATTGGTAATTTTTTTGTCTGATGGGTAACTCCCAGTTCCTCACTATGTGGCATCCCAAGAGGGCTGCAAATCAACGGGCCCTGCCTCCCCTCAAAGAGTGATTAACAACGTGAGTCAGGCTAGCCAAGCAGAGAATGTCCTCCTTTAGGGAACAGTGACTGGAACAGGGGTGGATGCCTGACATCAGGATCAATTTTTAGAGATTGATGTGGACATTGACAAAGAGGTCTCTTTTTTTTTCTAAGAACACATGTATTAAGGATTAACTGCCAAGGGCCATCCGCCCATCTAGGTACAGAATTCTGCCTGAAAATAAAACATAGCTGAGTGACAGAGAAAAAGCCAGCATCATGATATCATTTAAGCACTTGGATCATGCCATGCCTGAAATCCAACCCCTTAGATATTTCAATTATATGAGCTAATAAATTGTCTTTTTTAAGCTTAACCTGGGTTAAATTTAGTCTCCATCACCAGTAACTAAAAGAATCTTGCCCAATTTGTAGAAAAATGATATTTGAAAGAGAAGGCCCTGCCCCTTGTCCTCAAGCTGGACTCAACATGCAGCTGCCTACTCTTCAGGGATGACATTCAACAATGCCACCAACAGCACTATTACCATTTAGTTTCCTCTTACCTGGAAATAGTTCAAAAGTACACCAGCCCCGGAGAGTCCCAGTCCTGCAAACATGAAGGGCACTACCACCTGAAGGCCAATGGACAAGGCAGTTTCCCCGCTGAGCTCAGTCCCCAGTGGTTTAGGGACCGCCCTTTGGCTCTCAGATTCACTCAGAGGTCCATCTTCTGAGGTTGCAGAGAGTCTTCCAGGACTGAGTTTGTGTGGCAGAACCAGCTCCTCTGGCCGCCGCTGTCGGGTCTCCGTCCCATCCATGTAAGCAGAGCTGAGCCCCTGGCAGCCTTAACCTAGGAGATACAAAGCAACAGGGGCTGTTCAGTAGAGTTCCTGACCCCTCTGGGGCTGATGCCATGTAAGCCCTCACACAGTGACTGCCTCCACATGGTCTCCTGCAACCCCAATTTAAATAGATTTTTTATTTAATATGCACATATTTGAGGGAAAAAAACACATTATAGAAGAGAGCACTAAATATTTAGGAACTGGAGTTAGCAAACCTGGTGGTATAGGGAACTGAAAATTCTCTCCATAAAAGAACAAGAAAACTAGCAAAAAGTGTGGAATCCACTTTTTCAGAACTCTGGGAATTAATCAAAGGCTTGCAGTAATGCAAAGAGTATTTATTCAAGAAAAAAAATGCTGAATCTTTAGCAAGAACAGCAACAGAGGTGATTGTGATATATTAACTGTGCCTTAGTCCCACCCCCTGCTCTCTGGTTCTGCAGCAGCCTAAAAAACCAACAGCCCAGAGAGAACAGAATGGGCTCAAGCTCTTTCAAAGCCTCATTTTCAAAAAATTGTCATTCTTTGACCTAGTAGGTGGATCACTGGAAGTTGCCACTTACAAACTATCTGTATTTCACCCCACTCCTAATTCACTCAGTGTACAAAAGCCTTGCCCTGAGGGACATTTGTTGGAAACAATTAAAGACACTTCACAGCTGCCTGAGGCAGTGGGTAATAGCTGGGGTAAATAATACACTAACCAAAAAGCCTAAAAGGAAAAGGGGAATTAGATGTGCAAATTTTGCAGTTCCTAAAAATTCCTGGGAATCGAGAAGGCCACTCATACTGGGCTGGGCATCTGCTCACAAAATAGCTGAGAAGGCCCAAAGCTCTACCCTCCAGCTGCTCTGGAGGCTCTGCACAAGCAGAAAGTGAGGGCGAGGCAGAGCTGTCCGCTACCAGACAACGTGCTGAAGGTGTGCCCCAATGCACACACAGAGCCCCCAGGCACAGACAGGGATGTTCGGCAGTTCCACGCAGTTCCACGCGGGGCCTTCAAGGAGATCTCTAGCCAAGCGTTACCTGACCACGAGCAGAGACTTCAGTGGCCGCATACAACACAGAATACAAACTAAAGAGGTCACTCTGAAAAGTCACCAAAGACACAACAACTCCAGCAAGCAGCAATAACAAGAAACCTTGAGAAGAGGGGAGAATCTAATTTCCAGAGTTGTCACATTACGAAATCTTTTAAAAGATTTTATTTATTTGACAGAGAGAGAGAAAACAAGCAGGGAGAGCGGCAGGCAGAGGGAGAGGGAGAAGCAGGCTCCCCGCTGAGCAGAGAGCCCGATGCAGGGCTCAATCTCAGGACCCTGGGATCATGATCTTGAGCCAAAACCAAGAGCTGGAACGCTTAGCCAACTGAGCCACCCAGGTGCCCCACATTATAGAATTTTAAATGTCCAGTTTTCAACAAAAAATATGAGACATGCAAGAAAACATGATACTATGACCTATGCACAGGGAAGAAAGCAATTAATAAAAAATATCCTGAGGCAGCCCAGACATTGGACTTACTAGACAAAAACTTTAAATCAGCTATTTTAAATACGTTCAAAGAACTTAAAGAACCATGCCTGAAGAACCAAAGAAAGTATGAAAATGAAGCCTAACCAAACAGAGAATATCAATAAAGAGATAAAAACTTTTTAAAAGAACCAAGTAGAAATTCTGGAGTTGTAAAATATAATAGCCAAAGTGTAAAATTCCCTCGAGGAGTGCAACAGCTGACCTGAGCAGGGAGAATAAGAAACCACTGAACTGAAAGATAAATCAACAGATTATCCAATCTGAAGAACAGAACAGGATGAAGAAAAATGAACAAGCCCTCAGAGGCCTGTGGGACACCATTAAGCAAGCCAGCATTTGCATAACAGGAGTCTCAGGGAAGAGAGAGTAAAGGGGTACAAAAGAATATTTGAAGACAGAATGGGCAAAATCTTTCCAAATATGATCAGAAAAATTCCCATATTTAAGAACCTCAACAAATTCCAAGCAGAATAAATTTAGAGATCCATACCAAGACACACCATTATCAGTCAAAGACAGAGAATCTTAAAAGCAGGGAGAAGTCACTCTTCATGTACAAGAGCTCCTCAAGATTAATAGCTTATTTCTCATCAGAAACCATGGAGGCCAGAGGCAGCAGGATGACATATTCAAAGAGCTTAAAGAATAAGACTGCCAGCCAAGAGTTCTATGAGAAGCAAAGGCATCCTTCGAAAATTAAGGACAAATTAAGAGATTCCCAGATAGACAAAAACCAAGAGAACTTGCCACTAGCACACTTGCCCTATATAGGAAACACCAAAGAAAGTCCTTCAGGCTGGAACGAAAGGACCCAGATAGTAGTTTGCATCCACATAAAGAAGGAAAGAGCATGAGTAAAGGTGACTACAAAGGCAAATATAAAAAACAGCATAACTGCATTTTTGTTAATAACTCTTCTTTCTCTCATCCAATTCAAAGACAATTGCATAATTCAGTAACTACAAATCACTATATATGGGTACACAATAACTAAATATGCAATTTGTATGACAGTAGGAGCACAAAGTAGAGTACAGAGCTATATATAGGAACAAAGTTTCATATACTAGTGAAATATTCCACTGTATGAATAGACCACATTTTGTTTATCGGACATTTGAACTTTTTTTACTTTTTGGTTATTACAAATAATACCCCGCTATGAACATATGTACACAAGTCTCTGTGTGAACATGTATTTTCTGTTCTCCTGAATTATACATTTTGAAGGGGTGAATTTTATGGTACGTGATTTGTGTGTCAAAAAATATTCATGAATTATTTATGGAATAAGGGGAAGAAGCAGAAGACTACCAGCTTCCCAAACTCTCTGAGCCCCTGTCCAATAACAGCTCCTACTCCTTACCACAGGGTACCACTGTCCGAACTCTGGGAAGAACCACTCCTCAGCTGTTGTTGATTCCTTCCTTAGTGTTACCAACTATGAGAGCAGTCCTAAACAATAGTGTCTGCTTTCTTTGCAGGTTAGATCAGTAAGTCATACTCCCATCTATTCCTGTCTCGTCTCTTCGGCCAACATTAGGTTTCTCACATTCAGCCACGCTGTGGGACCATCTCATTTTACTGCTGTGTCGAATGCAACTAAATGACCTGCCACGATCCACCTATTCTACTCCCGAGGGACCATCCTTTACAAAATAAAAATCACTTGATTGTTTTTTAATACAAAAGTAATGTGTTCATAAGAAATACAATTTAGAAAACAAAAAAGGTGTAAATATGGAAGTTTAAATCATCAACAATTTTACTGCCCCCAAATACCACTAAATCTAGTATATATCCTTCCAACGTACACACACAGACACACTCATGCATGCTATTTTTTAAAAAATCAATGTTCTAGATCTTGGGTTGTTTTGTATATACCTGTCCACCTCTGTTTTTAGCATCTCATGTCATCCTTGATAGTCCACCCAGGTGTTGGTAAAACCTTCTTTTCCACAGGATTTAATTTTTTTCCTTAATTTTTTTTTTTTTTAGATTTTATTTATTTGAGAGAGAGAGACAAAGAGAGTGAGAGAGAGAGAGCACAAGTGGGGAGGAGAAGGAGAAGCAGGCTCCCCACAGAGTAGGGAGCCCGATGCGGGACTCGATCCCAGGACCCTGGGATCATGACCCGAGCTGAAGGCCTGATGTTGGCCGAAGAGACCAGACAGGAATAGATGGGAGTATGACTTACTGATCTAACCTGCAAAGAAAGCAGACACTATTGTTTAGGACTGCTCTCAGTCAGTCGATACATGTTTTAACTTGTAGCCACAAGCCGCCCAAGGCCACCAGCCCCACCTCCCCACTGGCAGAGGGCCAGGGGCCCTGCACTATGTGCAGCAGGTTTATCGAAGTCAACAGAGACACTGGGCCTGTGAGGACAGCCTGAGTGAGCAACGAGTAAGCAGGGCACAGAGGAGGCCTCACATCTTCAGGGACACCTCTGAAGGTAGGAACCATCCGCACACACAAGCCTTACAGAACTTGGGCCAAGGCAGGCTTTGCTCAGCTCAGAAAGGCAATAAACCACAACAAACAAACAACCGGAATTACTTATTCCTGCATGACTCCTAAAGGCTTTATAGCAGCCCAGCAGTGGGACAGGAAATGTCTGCTCCTCCTGCCATAGCAGGCCCAGCGTGGCCCACCCTGGCCCCCCGCCCTGGTCCTGCCCCCCACAGGAGCCACCCTTACCTGGCTGGTCCAGGCCCAGGTCATTCGTTAGGACTAAGACCCTTGTTCTACCATCCCAGTGACTTTCTTGCCCTAAACCCTCTAAGCCTGAACCCTCGAGGTAAACCAAACATTCTCTTTAAATTCATCCCACTCAGGGCAGCAGTGCTGATAAAGTGAGTCAGGCTCACATGGGAGGCTTGGCCATAGTAGGAAAGCAGGTAACAATGGAGAAAAGAGTCCCAGTCCAACCATCACTGCGAGCCACATATAAAATCGTCAACAGGGTCTCAGGTCCCCATTCTGCTATTCTATGTGGCTCCCTTGGAACACATGGGGAGGAAGGACAATTAGTAAAACAGAGCTGGGGGGGGGGGGGGGCGGTCCAAGCATCCCTGCAGTACCAGATCCATAATTTCTTAAAAAAATAATAATAATAATAGACACAGCTACCCATGACCCATGCAGCGGTCCTTCATATCCCTTAGCCTCACAAGTCCCAAGAAGGTCTATTACTGCCTCCATCACATAGCAGAGGAAACACAGGGTAAAGGGGGTGAGGGGTGCCAGCCTCTCGCCTGTGCCCCAGCACCCACCTCAGCCCTCTCAAGGACCAGCGCTCACAAGGGTCTCCTCTCTCCTGCCTTTTCAGTTTCTCCCCTCTACCTCTGCAGGATCATCTAATGACAACAGGATCTTGTTCTAGAATCTCCCTCTCAAACAAGCTCCCTTGACCTCAAGCCACCCTCTAGCTTGTACCCCATTTCTCTCCTCCCCTTCAGAACAC